AAAACAAATTAACCAAATAATCTTTAGTCGTACGATTAAAATATATTGACCTATTTCGAAAACTTGAATATAATATTTTATATATTAATGTAGTTTCTTTGTTTGGTAATATTTTGGTAAGTCCTTTTTTCTTTAAGTTTAATATTTATTTTTACGTGTTGAATTTTATTCGGTTTAACTGTTAAACCGAACTGAATAAACCATAATCGAATAAACTGAAACCGATTAAACCGAACCTTATTTGGTTTGGTTATGGTTAGATTTAAAATGTAAAAAAACCGATAAAACCGAACCGTTTTAACCGAAAACCGGAAAACCAAACCGAATAACACCCCTACCCACCTCCATATATAGGAGGAGACCCCTTCATTCACTCTTTTTCCATTTTGGCTGCACTCTACTTTCTCTCACTACTTTCTCTCTCTAAAAAACTTCATCCAAGAACACTCTAACGGCCTCAAAAAACGTGAATTACTCCATCATTCAGCTTGTTATACTGGTAAGACACCTTGATCTAAGCTTAAAACTCTTCATGTTCTTCGTTTTCTTCATCACTTGAAGGTGTACGACCGCACACTTTCATAAGGTGGCCGTACACACCTTAAAGACTCTCAAAAGTGAGAGTTTGGCTTTCATTTGCTAGTTGGACTTGGTATTGGCTTTGAAACACCCGAAAATCGACATTTTGAGCATGAATGAAGAGTGTACGGCCGCACACCCCTATGTAGGGCCGCACACTCCCATGTACGACCGCACACGCCCTCTGTACGGTCGCACACTCCGATGTGCAACCGTACACACATGCTGACCGCACACCCTGGCCGCACACACACTCTTTTGGCCGTACACCTCCCTCGTTTGATCATATAGGGTCCCGACTAGCATTTCCAAGTCTTTAGGGTGGTTTCCCGTCATGTTTAGTCCTGAAACACCGTAATTCTAACACACATATGTGTTACCATATGTTAATAGGATCCACTTGCGTACGAAACAGCAGTTGACACTCAACATCTACACCGATCATACGCTCGAATCCTACGTCAAACTGTGAGTTCATACCCCTACGCTTTTTCCGAGTTTTCATGTTTTCAGGGGGAGAATACAAGCAAAAGTACAAGGAAACTTGTGCTCAAGTTATTTCATTTTTCATAAAATAATTATATGTTCAATATGCTTTTAACACGGAAAACCGTTTTACCAAACGATTAAGAAATCAACTCGTAGAAACAGTTTTCAAAACTAAAGCAAGGAACTTGTGAATCTTGTCATAAAATATGATATTTTACAAAGGATTCATACAAAACATAAACAGGATTTTCTATATTATTACTTGTAAGTTTGTTATTTTAAGTTGGAGACACGTCCTTGGTAACACTCCACCGGATTCGAGAGTGTAGGACTAACTCTTGTAACCAGAATCTCTTGTAGGGAGAGCGTGACTATTGTGTATAGATCTATACGGGACTGACTATCCCGCACCTAAACTGCTAGCTACAGTTAGGCAGCCATGCCTGGGGTGACAAAGTCATAAAAGGATACTGGCCCCGTTACGTGCCATATCCAATTTAATGTATGGTTATAAAACTCGCAACCTAGATAACAGAGATTTACTTTTGTAATAATGAAACAAGTGAACTAACCTCAAAGTAATAACCGATTTGATTACTAGAGGGCATTATTAATACCCTTAGGATCTAGTTCACTACTTATTTATTAGTTTTATTTATGTAATAAGGCTAATACATCTCACTGAGAGCAAACAGGGTTTTTCAAGGAAACTACATCTAACGATACAAGTATGGTAGATACTTGTACACCTCATACCAGAACAGATAACCAACTATCAACTTTTAAGGAAAAATATAGGATTTTCCCGGGATAACTCAACCTTACATAAACAGGCTATTAAACAAACAACGAATGGATAATCAAACATCTTTTATAAGAAAATATAGGATTTTCTTGGGAAACACTTTTCAAAGGATCAAGGAAACATTTCTTTCACCAGAACTAAACGCTTATGAACTCACCAACTTTATGCTGATATTTTAAAACTGCTTGTATTCTCAGGGCAACAATAGACACGTACTCTTGCCAACTTTTGGAGAAGACGGAGCATTTTGGAGTCACATCTTTTACTTTTGTTATATACTGTTACGTACAAACCATGTTTTCAAACAATGTAAATATTCTTATTATAATGTAATGGTTGTGTTTACTTCGCTTACTATGATACAACTGTTGTGATACTACGAATGACGTCACCCCGCCCCCGGACGTTTCCGCCGTCCGTTCCGACGGTTCGGGGGTGTGACACTTTTCCACAAATTTCTTAGCAACTGTTGCAATATCTTCCCCGATTTCAAGCAATCTTGAATTCGATACATATTTGCCCTTATCTTTACCGTTATCTTTACTTTTATTTTGACTCTTTTCCGTATCTGTAGTCTTTTGTTTTTTTTATTGAGCGGAGGACTCCGCACTGAGACTTATAGTTTCTTGTTGAGTGCAATCGATGTCGTCAAAGTCATGCAAACTATAGTGGCTTGAATCTTGAGTAGGACGTGGATGGGTAGAAGTTGGCCCCCAACTATGAATGTCTGTCGCAGTCGCGCCTTCAAACAACCGTGTGCAAAGATCGGGGTACGGTAGTGGCGTGCGTCTCAAAGAATCCACATGTTTGTTTGACTGTTTGGAAAAAATATTTTATTATTTAAACATGATAATATATTTTTTATAACTAAACAAAATACCTTCGATTCTAGTTCCCATTCTTCTTTGGAAAGATTGAAGGTGTTGGTTGTTGAATTGTACACATTGCCGGTTTTGTTTTTTAACTTCAAAAAAACACCAAACTTTGACTTTAGGTAGTCATAGCGGTTCTTCATTTGTTTTTGGTCGGCAATAAAGTTATGTTCAATTTTTAATGTTTCAGCTACATTCCTCCAAGATAGTGCTTTCAAACTACTCCCTTTCCGTCCATTGACCGTAACTTCAAGTAAACAAGCTTCTAGAAACGTTTTCTCTACACCTTCAACCTTCCAACTAATCATATCCTTCTTTTCTCCCATTTCTGTGATCAATTCAACAAAAAAATGCATGTTTTAGCAACAAGTTAAGCATTGCAAATACACATTTTCAACAACAATTTAAGCAATATAAAGACACATTTTCAACAACTGCTTCAACAAAACAAATGCACAATTCAGCAAAACTAATGGATATTTCATGTTAACAGCAAGAACATATATGATTTCACTATAACATCAAACACAAATATTATGTCAGCAACAACATTTCAGCATAATACTCAAACATAAAAACATTAAACATAAAAATTTGAGTATAAAAAATCAAACATAACATAAAAAATTCAACATCAACATTTCATCATATCCATTGAACACATTCAGATTCGATCATATAACATCAAAATCAAGCATATAGCATCATAATCGAGCATATAACATCAAAATCGAGCATAACATCAAATATTGATTTTGATTGAACAAATCAGAAACTGATAGCATAACAATTTTGATTTTTGATTTTCAAGATTGAGGGGAAAGAAGGAAGAAACAGAAGAAGACCACTGAATTCGATTTTAAAATAAGAAGAGAAACAAACCTGCTGCGGTCGGCGGAAGAACGAGTTGGAGACGGAAGACCTTGCGACGGCGGAGGAAGGCGACGTTGTTGGGTGCAGCGGCGTCGACGATTTGGGTGGGCGGCGTCGCTGGCGTCGTGGGAAACTGAAGAGAAGAAGATGCGAAGCAAGCAGGCGTGGAGGGAAGAAAAGAAGAGGAGGCGGTCGATCCTGTTTAGGGCAAATAGAAACGCGCGTCTCTTTTTTTATTTTCCAGACGTTGTTTAATATCTGAAAAAATAAGAGGCATTTTAATTTAAGAGGTAAAAAATAATACACAAACAAACGCTCTAAATCTGAAAATTTAAGACATTGCCTCTTAATTTGCAATTAAGAGGTAAACAAACAGGACCTAAATGTTTGAAAATTTATGTTTTGGGCATTTCAACCCTCAAAAATATTTAAATTAAACTCTGGGACCATTTTACCAAAATAAAATGATGGTTTTATTTTATTTTATTTTATTTTATTTTTTTAGTAAAGACTATTTTAAATAGACTCATGCAAAAGGTGTTATAAAGAACACCAACCTTTCCACTAAAAAAAGTTTTCCAACTAGTTTATTAAACATAACCTAATTGTATAAGACTATAAACATAGAGAGCTTGGGTAATCCGTTCACCGATAGGATAAAACTATTTAGACTGTTTTTCGCGCGCCATAACTAGCTGATAAGATAATTTATTTTTCGAGCTTTTTTAAATTATCATGTTTGGTAAACCAAAAGATAGCTTCTAAGCTAGCTTTTTGAAAAACTACTTAGACTAGCTTTTTTATTTTTATTTTTTAAATTTTCAAATATATCCCTTAATTATTCATAGAAGACATTATTTGAAATGTCATTTTATGTTATTTTATATCTTTTAACTAACTTATGAGTTAGTTTTATCAAATGTCAACTTTTATTAGCTAGCTTTTCAACTATCAGCTAGTTTTACAGCTATCAAGTAGTTTTTCATAAAACAACTAACTATTCGGCTATCAACTAACTTTTTAGTTAGTACGTCAAACATAGCTTTAATTAAAAAAATAACACTACACCTTATTTCTTGGCATAATGTTCCCAACTCCAAATAATAAATCACATTTTTTCGAAATATGTTTGTCAATAGATGTCAATTCGTAGTCCGTAGACCTTTTGTAGGCACTCAGATTAAACTTGTTCGTTTTCTTATATTTACTTTCATGCAATCTAATGACTAATATAACTAGAATAAGTAAACATTTCAATTAACTTTGCAAGTCAACCGATATATTAAAGCCCATAAAAGGGCCCAACTATACATTCCAACCCTCTAAGCCTACGAATAATCAAAACAGCCCATAGGATTCGTGTCTTATGACAAACCTACCCACTACCACCAAGTACACTGCACCATTACAGAACTGCTCACAACCGCCTTCCCTTCCGAGCTCTTCGTTTTTCCGAACCAGTTTCTCCATTGATTTTTGTTTTTAGCTCCGAACAATGCCAACAGGAGAAGATTATAAGATAAAGAAGAAGAACAAATCGATCAGGAAGAAATTGCGGAGCGAGTCATCGAAGGTTTCTAATCGCATCGCCGCCATCATCGCACAAAAAAAGCGTCGTCAGTCCGGCAAACGCAGAATGTGTCAGGTATAATTAGTTGTTTTTGTATAAGATTTCTAACGGTTGATCAAATTTTTGTGGATAATTTTGAGTATTTAATTAAACCATGTCAGGAAATCTATAAGATTATATTGCTCATCTCTGTTTGTTGGAGTATGTTAGACCTACATAAGCACATGAACATCTATGTAGTTCAAATCAATTTCCTGCTGAAAAACAGTATATGACACTAATTTGTGCGGTATGCTTCTATTTAAAGAACAAACCGAATTACCTGAAAGAGTTAACTTTTAGCTTGTAGTCGTAGCTCTATAGCGTGATATGTAAGCACGTATGACTAGCAGCCGTGTACTTCATCTAAAACCTCCGTTTTAATGCAAATGTAATTCAGTCTATGTTTTCATGAGCTCTGATTTGTGATCTATATGACATGTTGGTTACCTGAACATTAAAACAGTATGATCTAACTGGAAGATCTTTTTCTCACTTTTACCTCCTTTTTGTTGCAATGATGCAGGGAATGTGTTTTAGCCTCCCTACTCCTGAGGATCCTTTCTTAGACAAACCTACAAATCTCGATTCTAAGAAAAAGGACAAGACAAAGAAGACCAAGAAAGTGGAGCCATCAAAGGGAGTTGATAATTTGTCAGAAAAAGGAAATAAGAGAAAGGCTAAAGAAGATGATCAATCAAATGGAAAAAACCAGGAACAGAAAAGGGCAAGGGTGGAGAAAGAGTCAGATAAAAAAAGCACCAAGAAACTTAGTAGCACCCGTATTTCAAAAGATGAAGGCTGCCCTTCAAAATTCTTAATCTCATGTTTGAAAACAATACAAGATATGATGCATCACAATGAAGCATTCGAACCAGGAAAGCCTCTGTTCTTTGACTCATGGGGCTTTGATTTTTGGAGATGTTATTCAAGTGGCAAACATGTATTGGAGACAAATGGAAGTTGTACAGTGGAACAGGTTGCTTGGATAGCATCAACTGCTGTTGACACCATTACAAATAAGGAAAAAGAAGGCGTATCTTTCACCACCCCTTACCTTTTATTCCTTGTACCTTCACAACAGAAAGCAATACAGGTACGTTCTGTATGCAAGCCATTAAAGGCATTTGGAATACATACAGTCAGTCTACATCCTGGTGCTTCCATAGATCATCAAATTCACGGGTAAATTACATTAACTTTATAAAACTTGAAACTGTTAATTTTTCTGATTGAATTTATTTCTGAAACTCTGTTCATGTTACAGATTAAAAACTTGTGAGCCGGAGTTTCTTGTTTGCACACCGGATAGACTTGTGGAGCTTGTTTCCAGGGAAGCCATAGATATTTCTGGAGTTGGTTCTCTGGTATGCTATATTGCTATTCATTATTCATCCTGTTTATTTTTTATAACATTAAACTAATCAATGGTTTAATTTTAATTTTTGCAATTATACAACAGATTATTGATGGATTGGGATCTTCTACTGAAGGAGCTTACCTTGAGAGCATCAAATCTATTCAAAAGCATATTTCTGTTGACCCACACACTGTGGTTTTCTGCAGTAGTGGCTTAAGTGACACAGATGTGTCAAGTCTTCTGCCAACTCCAGTGTGCAGATTGTCACGAGAGGAATCCCTTATCAACAAGAAATAGCAATGTACTTCCATTGATTTGTTTATTATAGCATCTTACTTTTGGGTCTGAATCATGTTCATTTAGTTTTATTTATTAAAATTACCAACATGTTACAGGGAGAATGAACCTGGGGTTTGTGTGTATGATTGATTTGGAAGATACAGATGAGGCTGATTTAAGCAGAGTTGGGGTGGTGAATGGTGATTATATTTATATTGGTGTTGAGATGGTTGAGTATAAAGATATTCTCACAAGAATGTCTTGGGATACTTTAAAAAGGAAATTTAATGTGATTTTAAGGAGAGAAGATGTAACAATTGCAGGACAATGAGTTTTATTGTTCTCAAAAGTCAAAACTACTCATTTTTTATTCACATATGGGTATCCTTTTTTTATTTTTGACCTTGAATTTTTTATGAATCCGAGTATTGTATTTGCTAAAATGTAAAAGAAGGCATTAGGCAGGTGAGACAAGCAAAATCGTGACTGTTGTATTTGTAGTTTTATTGCTGATTAGAACACTGGAAAGTGGTAATAGTTGCTGTGTTCTGGTTATGCACTTATGCTTGAGCTTTTTTCAGGGCTAATCACTAAAATGCTCAAAATGGGTGGTGGATTCCTATTACCAAATAACTATTTTTTCAACATCCATCTCAAAGTAGCCAGCCAATTCATTATCAGTCTTTTTTTTTTCCCCTGAAATCATTATCTTTGCATTTTTTTTGTTATTTGATAAGCAGATTTTTATAGTGATTATTTTTGTAAGGGTTTGTCAATTTTTTCAAGTGTTTTAGTTTAGTCATTATATTTTATTTAAGCTATCATTAATCATTAAATTTGTTTATTTATTTTTGACAAATCTTCATAAATGGTCCCTGTGTTTTTTTAGAATATTAAGTTTAGTTTCTAACTTTTTTTTTGTCTTCAATGATTGTCTCTGTGATTTAAAAACTTTTTATAGAGAGTCCTTATGGCTAACACTGTCTGTTTCGGTCCGTTAAGTTAGAACACGTGCCAGACATGTGAGGGCAAAATTATGTTTTACAAACCAAATGACCATTAATGAAGTTTTAAATAAATAAACAAAAAATCTTCATAAATGGTCTATGTGATTTCTCAGAATATCAAGTTCCGAATTTTTTTAGTCTAATGGAAGATTCATGTGTTTTCAATTTCTATTTTTCTATCGTGATTAGTCTCCAACTCATACGAAATGACTTATTTTTCCTTTTTATTTTCGTTTCCATTTTTTTATTACAACAATTAAAAAAAGCAAAAAGATAAAATAAAATACAACCTCTAACCATACCAAGTATCGGTCAACGCTTGCCACCACTAGAACTATGGTGTAACAATACCTCTGCCGCTGTAGCACTTGCCATTCAAACGTCTTTTTTCCTCTTCCACTTCAGTTCTCGACGACGACACTTTACAGAAAAACCCTAGAGTCGACAGTGACACTTTGTAGATCCTAGGTTACGACAACATTGTGTTATGAACTCCTGATGCTTAATAGGGTTCCGAGACGTTGTCTCTCTCATTTCTCGCCAAAAACCTCTTACAGCCTTTGGGTTGGACATTATGAGCGACGGAATTGGTTCGACCTGGTGGATACGATCTCCGACGGTGGTTGTTCATGGTGAGAGAGAGACGAGGATGGAAAAGTTGGTCTCAGTTTTTGTTACTAATGGGACAAAGGGTTGGTGGGTAGGTGTGATTTTTTTTTTTCTATTTTTTTTCAAATAGTTTTAATAAAGGAAACTGTAAAAGAAAGCAAAAAAGAGTATAAAAGTCTTTTTATATAGGTGAAAGACCAACCATGATAAAAATTGAAACCAAACGAATATTCCATGAGACCAAAAAAAATTAGAGACTAAACTTGATATTTTGGGAAATTACATGAATTATCTATGAATATTTTTTCTTTATTTCTTTAAAACTTCATGAATGGTCCCTTGGTTTGTAAAAAACGATTTTTCTCTCACATGCATTGCACGTGTTCTAACATAATGGATCAAAATGAACGGTGTTAGCCATAAGGACTACCAATGAAAAAAATTATGCCGCGATGACCATTTTTGAAGACAGAAAGTTGGAAAAACATAGTGACCATTTATGAAGCTTTGTCTTTATTTTATTTTTTATATTAGTTACTCTAATCGGTTAGGCTGGACGGAGCGGGTTCGACAATAGCCTCAGCGAACACTGGGCCGAACCCTCGACATGCCGAGCTAGGTTCGACAACTCGATAGAAATGTGTCGAGTTTCTTTCTTCTTCCTTCCCTCTTTCTCCTTCCTTCTCCCTCACTCGATAGACCACCCCCTCTTCTCCCTCTCTTCTTATTCCGAGCTTTCTTCCCCCATTTTGCTAATGTGACGTTCGACAGTCTCGACACCACTTCGAGAAGCCTTATAGCCGGTGTAAGTGACGTTGATGAAGACATCAACATGGAACGACGTGATCAAATGTTATAATTAGTTATCGAATTTCTCTAGGTGTTTTACTTTAGCCATTATATTTTTATTAAAGTTGCCATTAGTTATTCACCTTGGATATGATCTCCGACGGTGGTTGTTCATGGAGAGAGAGAGAGAGAGAGAGAGAGAGAGAGAGAGAGAGAGAGAGAGAGAGAGAGAGAGGATTGAAAAGTTGGTCTTAGTTTGTGTTACTAATGGGACAAAGTGTGGGTGAGTAGGTGTGATTTTTTTTTTCTATTTTTTTCATATAGTTTTTATAAAGGAAAATGTAAAAGTAAGTAAAAAAAAGTATAAGAGTCTTTTTATAAATGTGAAAGACGAACCACGATAAAAATTGAAACCACACGAATATTTCATGAGTCCAAAAAAATTAGAAACTAAACTTGATATTTTGGAAAACCACATAGACTATCTATGAGGATTTTTTCTTTATTTATTTAAAACTTCATGAATGGTCATTTGGTTTGTAAAAAACGATTTGTCTCTTACATGCATTGCACGTGTTCTAACTTAACGGACCAAAAATAAACGGTATTAGCCATAAGGACTATCTATGAAAAAAATTATGCCATGAGGACCATCTTTGAAAACAAAAAAGATAGGGACTAAACTTGATATTTTGGAAAAACATAGTGACTATTTATGAAGATTTGTCTTTTTTTTTTTTTTTTTTAAATATCAGTCACTCTAACCGATTATAGCCGGTGTAAGTGATGTTGTTGCAGACATCAACATGAAACGACGTAATCAACTGTTATAATTTGTTATCAAACTTCTCTAGGTGTTTTACTTCAGGCTCTGTAACACTCAAAAAATCATAAAATTTTATAATTTTAAAATCAATTATTAACCATCATTTTTTACAAAAAGAGTCATTGTTTCAAAAGTAGAGTCATATCAGAGTGTCCCAAAAATCCATATCATGAATTAGAAAGATGTGCACGATCAGACCTCCGCTTTCCCACGATCCTCAGAAGTACTTGAAACAATAAACTAAAACTGTAAGCCAAAGCTTAGTGAGTTCCCCCAAAGTATCAACACACTACATAACAAACAAAGCATGCAAATATGAGCCTTCAGCTTGTCTGGACCGCCTCGCAGGGTCTATAGCCTATCTGGACCGCTCTACGAGCCTTCGGCATGACTGGACCGCCTCGTAGGGCCTACAGTCTATCTAGACCGCTCCTCGGGCTTTCGGCATGACTGGACCGCCTCGTAAGGCCTACAGCCTATCTGGACCGTCCCGGGTGTCTTGGCCTTCAGCACAAAGCAGGACCGCCTCAACCCAACCACAATATGTCGACATATGTAACCGATAAGCATAAAGACAGAACCAACAAATACAGATAATCATACAGATATACTAATAAGCCATATACTAGCATAGTATTATCCTATAACAAGGATACATACTCTAGTGGGCAGTCATTGGTGCCTTCGACCCACAAGTACAGTGAGGAAAACTCATATCTCAGTCTGAACTCAAGCTGAAAAATCTCTGATCCGAAAACCGGCTCTACTCGACACCTATTATCCAAAATATTACCCAACTTAAATTAATACCACATTACCCAAAATACCTTATGGTCAAGATTGGTCAAACGTAACAAACCAACTGAGTCAACCCAGCCGAGTCGACCCAACATCATACGTGGGGCTTACACAGATGTACGTGAGGCGTACTTTGTTTGACTGAGGAGTAGGAGTGAAGACCAGATACACACAACATATCCTTCGGTATGCCCAACATACATACCTGGTCAGCAACCCCTTATCAAAAGGGCTTAATACCTTAAGACTTTTCATCCCAAACCAGATCCAAGTCCAAAATGTTGTCCTTGACCATAAAGTTTCCAACTTTATGGTTTTGCAGGGCCATTAAGATCTTAACACTAAAAACCCTAACATCTTAAGCCATTATGAACACCAAACTCATGCATGGGGAAGAACTAAGAGCCAAGATCATATTTTTATCACTCCAACTATCCTAAAACGTCCAAAAGGACAACTCATTGGGTCTAGGGTAGCTCATACCCCAAAGGACCAAGAACATAGGGCTAAAAAGCATAAACTTTGAACATAAGCAATATCTAATGATAGGATCATCAAGTTCAAAAATTTATACCTCAAAATGAAGCTTGGAGGTGTGGTGTTCGTGGATCTATGAGGTCTTGGTCTTCCAAGTTGAGGCTTCTTTCTTCACCTTGCTTCAAAGGTACCACAAAAAGACACTTTTGAGCTCAAAGGAACATACACAAAGGATTAGGGTTGCAATGGATGAAATGAGGGTTGGAGGCTGGTGAGGGAGTGAGCACTTGAGAGTTAATGATGTTTATATAGGGTGCAAACCCTAAAAATTAGGGTTTGTGAACCAGACACGTACGCCCTGTGTACGCTAGGTACGCCCAACGTACGTGAGTCCGCCTCAAAATTATAAAAATGCAACTATGGGCCATTTTGCAAGGTTTCTCATACACAAAGGCTAAAATGCAATAACTCTTCATACTTAGGGTTAAAATTGAAAATACTTCATCATCAGAACGTTACAACGACGTGGGAGGCTTTTACCGATGATATAAGCCTATGTGACACTTTTACCGGTGGTGAACACCACACTCGAACCTTTTTTTCTTGCCGGTGGTAAATCTCATAGGTGAATCCACCGATGACAAATCTCGATGGTAAACCTTTTCTTATTTCCTGATTGATCATTGCAATTTTTTTTAACACAAATACCATTATATATATCATTGGTCAAAAAACCACCACACCAATTCATAGACAAAGTGTGACAAAAATTGTAAAAGCTTATGCAACGTCTATATGACATCCTTTTACCATTGACAAAAAAACTACAACATCCTTTAGCCTTAGTCATTATATTTTATTAAAGTTACCATTAGTCATTCACTTTATTTAAAAATTTCATTTTAATCGTTCTATTCTTTTGTTATCATTTATTTAAAAAATACTTTTGTTTTAATATTCTCTATAAGTAAACTTGTTATATCAATTATTTTAGAATAAATTAGGGATTAACATCGGTCCACCTGGACCATAGCAGACCGAAAACCAAAAAACGGATAATGAATTTAGTAGGAAATTGTATATGATTGATCTATTTTTGTTATCTCGAAAACTTAATGATTAGAAATGACCTAAACTCTTTTTGGAAAATCAGTTTTAACAA